ATTACTTTGTGAGGATACAAGAATCACGACCCAAGCCACCATTGAGGGAAAGAAGTATATAAAGTCTGTACTTGTAGCTCAACGGGCTAGAGAAACACCACCACAAAAGGATCCATATTTTTTGCAATGTTATGAGTGTAAAGACTATGGTCATATAGCATCCCAGTGTAAGAAGAAAAGTTTTTGTACTTATTGTAAACGTGCTGGGCATATTATCACAGAATGTCGAAATCCTTCTCGGCGAGGCAACCGGGCATTCGATACACAAAAACCTTTGTATAGGGCATACCAAGCTGCTAATGATGCTTCCAAGGGGCTAAAAGTAGAAACCCCTCCATCCAGCGCTATTCATGACCCAAATATGACAATGTCCCAGACATCATATGATATTCGATAGTTGGTACAAAACTCTGTATCTACCGCTATATTTTCTGCTTTCTCTGCTATGAGCTTGTCTGGTATGAACTCTCACCTATCCTTTAGTGTAAATCCTATTTGGTTTATTGACCCAGGTGCCTCTAATCATATGACTGGAGTACACACAAGTCCAGCATCTACTAAACCATACCAAGGTAATAGTCGGACTCTCACCACTAATGGGGAGAAACTAAATATTATTGGTACTGATAATCTTTCACTTTCTATCTCCCGTGATACATCTTTTCATTTACGTAATGTCTTATTCATTCCTAAATTAACTGCTAATCTAATATCTGTGGGGTCCTGCTCCAATTTTATCCAGAATGGGATATAAGCATTTTGTTTTGTTCATTGATGATTGTACATGCTATATCTGGATATATTTAATGCGCCATAAATCAGAAGTGTTCTCCCATTTGAAAATGTTTTTATCCACGATTGCAACTCAATTTAATACCAAAGTAAAAATCTTACTGTTACACTCCGGGGGGGAATATTTATCAAATGATTTTCAAGACTTTTTGAAAACACAGGGTATTCAATCACAGAAAACTTGTTCATATACTCCACAATAGAATGATATAAGTGAAAGGAAAAACCAGCATATCTTAAAAGTTGTGAAGACCCTTATGCATGACACTCGTATTCCTCATAACTTTTGGGTTGAAGCTGCATCTACAGCTGTTTATCTCATAAATCGTCACCCATCTTTGGTTTTGCATAAACATTCTCCATATTATTCATTATTTCATGTTCATCTTGATTATTCTCTCTTGCATGTTTTGGGTGTGTATGTTTCGTTCATCTTCATCAGCATGGATGAACAAAATTTTCGATTCAAGCTGTCACTTATGTTTTGTGGGTTATTGTCCCGACTAAAAGGGTTTCTATGTTATGATCCAACAGCTCGTTGTATACATATTTCTCGCAATGTTGTCTTTTTGGACAACATCTTTTATTACTCTTCAATTGCAAAATCATCAGGGTCCTCTACTCCTTTTTTTCTTGATTTCTCTATTGATAAACTATCACACCTTTTAGTGCCTCAACAACAAGGCCAACAACACCACTCCACGCACACTCCATCTCACCAACCAAAGCAAGGTCAAACCTCGACCCTACTTGTATAAGTGATTCTTTTTTTACTCCTATTGACAGCTCTACTCAGTTACAATGTTCTTCACGTGTAACTCATACACGTAATCGATATGGCTTCTCCCTTGATGATTTTGACTTTTCACTACAGCTTGGAGCTTTTGTTTACTTCTCTTGATACGATTGAGGTTGCTTTTAAAGATCTAGATATTTGTTTACTCCCTAAATCATTATTTGCCCTTTTAGATTCGGTAGATATTCCTCCTTCCTACCAGCAAGCCTTGAGTATGTCTTGTTGGAAAGAGACAATGGATGCAGAAATCAGTGCCTTGTTGGAAAATGATACTTGAGATCTTGTTCTGTGTCCTCCTCACACATCTATTATTGGCAATAAATGGGTCTTTTCTGTAGAGCTTAAATCTGATGGAAGGATCGAGCAATATAAAACATGATTAGTTGCTCAAGGTTACAAACAGACGTATGACATATTCTATGATGAAACGTTTGTTCCTACTGCTAAAATGAGTACTGTACGAACCGTAATTGCCCTCTCTACTATTTGTCAATAGATTATATCTCAAATGGATGTGAAAATACATTTCTCCATAGATATTTGAAAGAGACAGTATATGTGCGACCTCCTCCTGGTTATTGCAATGATAAATCTATGGTATGTCATTTGAAAAAGTCATTGTATGATTTAAAACAAGCTCCAAGAGCTTGGTTTGAACGATTTCGACAGGTCGTTCTGCATGTTGGGTTAAAACAAAGTGCTCATGACTATTCGCTATTTACTCATCATTATTCTTCAGGAATAACAATTCTTCTCTTATATGTTGATGATATTCTCATCACAGGACACAATTTGGATAATATCAGACACTTGAAAGAGTGCTTCTCAGTCAATCATTCAAAATGAAAGATTTGGATCTGTTAACTTATTTTCTTGGGTTGGAGATTCATTATTCCCCTAATGGATACATAGTTAACCAGAAGAAGTACACCAAAGACTTGATCAAACTGGCCAATTTTTCTGATGAGAAACGAGTGGATACGCCAATGAAGGTGAATGTAAAATATAGAAAGGATGATGGCAACAAAATTCCAGATCCTACTCTTTATAGACAACTGGTTAGGAGTCTACTTTATCTCACTATGACTCGTGCAGATATTTCTCATGTAGTTCAGGTCGTTAACCAATTTGTTGCTGATCCTCGTAGCATCCACCTCTTTGCTGCCCATCGTATTATTTGTTATCTACGGGGTACATATCATAGAGGTCTATTATTATCTTATAACTCTTTTCTCCAATTACGAGCCTATGCTGATGCCCCGATACTAGACGCTCAATCACTGGGTGGTGTATTTTTTTTGGAGATTCTCTCATATCATGGAAATGTAAGAAAAAACAAATTGTGTCTAAATCTTCTACAAAAGCCGAATACCGAGCAATGTCCTTAGGTTGCAGTGAAATTACTTAGTGAGAGGCATTTTACAGGACCTCAATAGTCTTCATCGAACTCCTACACCATTATATGCTGATAGTATGAGCGCCATATGTATTGTGTCAAATCCATTGTTTCATGACCGCATAAAGTATATAGAAGTTGGCTGTCGTTTCATTCGTGATAAATTTCTGGCTGGAGAAGTTACACTCTTATATATGACCTCCCAACAACAACTTGCAGATATATTTACCAAGGCAGTGACTCGTGCTCATCATGACTATCTCGTTGACAAATTGATGATGTTCACCTAACCTCAGTTTCAGAGGGAGTGTAGAGATAGAGATAATCGAGGAGATATAGATAGTTGAGAATAGTTTTTAATTTTAAATTATCTTATATTTGATGTAGATATCTCTCTTGATAAGACTAGATTAGTTCATTATTATCAATGATTGATTGGCACTCTCTTGACAAGTCTAGATTAGTTCATTATTAACAATAACTGATTAACCCTATATGTATAGGGGACTTTGTATATTCTTGATGATTAATCAATATACAATGATTTTCCCAGAGGATTCAGAAGTTTAACACACTTAATAATAATGAAATGGAAAGAGATTACGTGAGATTTTTCCAAAATAAAAAAATCCATTATCTGGTGATAGGTGAAAAATCTATTACGTGAGTGACAGATAATTTTGGGAAATCTTTCACATACGTTTTTTTCTATCTTATCCCTGATTAAAAAAATCTTCTCTTGTACGCCCTTTCACTTCATAATAACTAGCATAGGTGATCCTCCCTTTTGAAGCTCGTCCCCTCATCTAAGGTATCAATTGTCATATAAAAACAAAAATAATAAAAATAAAAATCAATAATCAATGATAAACTACACAATACAATTATAATAAAAAATTTCACAAAACATAATCCGCATAAGAGATTACTAAAATCTCAATTGAAATAACATACGTCTTTATTCTCCTCCAGTACCTCAAAATTTTATACTGCAATTACCAAACATTATAGTTTACTAATCAAACTTCTTTCCCATTTCTTAACTCGTACCCTAGATATTTTGAATTTAGTATCATAAATTTATTGTTTATTTGAAATTATATCGAGAGACATTTGAAAGACTTCTATAAAAAATAAATAAAAATAAAGCTTATCATAATAAAATCATGTTATTCCCATCATATTGTTCCAATGACATGTTGAAACCAATGTCATGTTAGAAAACATGTGATTCCATGTAAGTGCCAAAGGCAGGTAAAATAAGTAAGAAATGGTGTCATGATGACTGTATGGTACAAGTTATTATTCGAAAATCTTTTGAGAATGGTGATGATGTTATTATTAGAAATATTTTTGGAATTGTGTGATTATGATTTTAATTCTCTATTTTAGTGGAATTTTGTGACAAAAAGAAAGAAATGATAATTCTACATTTTAGTGGAATTTTGTGACAAAAAAGAAAGAAATGATAGTTTATATGCACGTGCTGATAAAATGTTGGTAATGCATTTCCTATATTTCTTACGGACATAGCCAAACAATAACAATGTACTTTTCAGGGTTGTATCTAAATACTACCCAAATAATAACAATCTATTTAAAGGTAATGTATGAGCGTAGTAATGTATTACTGTAGTAATGTATTACGCCGGTAATATATTTCACAGATAATATATTTCTAGGTATTCAAAAGGCCCCTAAAAGGAAATAAATTTCGACAAAAACTTGCTATCAAATTGCAGCAACAACTTCTACAAAACAATGGCTAACACCTCGCCAACAATTTCTACAAAACAATGGCGAACACCTCACCTTCTATCTTCGTTTCTCCTTCAACCTCACTCAAACCCTTTCTCTTTTATGTTAAGCATAATCTTATTTCTCAATGTTATCAGTAACTAAGGGCTCGTTTGCCATCTTATCTCCCAAAAAAAACCCCGTTTGGCAATTTTATACTCACATAACGGGGTTTTGTGTACCCACACCAACACGCCGTTAAACAAAGTCACGAAAAAAAACTGCGTTGGGCAAAAAAACGTTTTGCTTACGCGTCCCCTCTCTCTCTCTCTCTCTCGTTGAAAACCCAATGCCCCGTTGAGCCATATCATAACAGCCACATCAAAACCAGAGAGGCAAATATAATTCCATCAGCTTAAAAGGACACCGAAGGAGAGAGAGATAAAATCCTAACGGCATAAAATGGAGCGGAAGGGTGGATTTTTTCTTTCCATTTGAGCTCTCTTTCAGGTTGGTTTCAATGGCCCCATTTTTTCCTTTTCTTCATTTTCCTTTCATCTTTTATTGTTCATTTTCTGTAGCAACTCCATGGATTTGTTTGAGAAACAAGAATGTCATTTACTTCATTTTTGTCATGAAGGAGTCTGCAATATTGGCATTTGTTTGAGAAACAAGAGGTGCCAATCAAGTTTTACTCCCTGAACCTCTGGTTTAGTGGGGTTTAGGGTTTTTAGAAATTGGGGTTTGTTTGATTCCCTTATGATCGGAAAAATTGCTGCTTTTTTTTGCAGTGGATTCCCTTCTTTGCCTCTTCATTTATGGGTGTTTTTTTTCTTCTCGTATCAAATTCCGTTTCCTTGGCTATCCATGAGTCTCTCTCTCTAAATTATCATTTCCATTGATCGTTCGTTTTTTACGGTATTGTTTTTTTTATTAACTCTGCACTTTCTTCTTATCTCCTCTGCATGTGTAGTCAATGTAGCTTTGAGAAAGTTTTCTATCATTTTTTTTTTTTTTTTTTGAGAAAGTTTTCCTCTTTTCTTTTTATCTTAGTTTTCTCAGATTCTTGTTCTTCACCATGATGAATATCTTGTTTGAGCATGATAGTTTGAAGTTTGGATGATTTTTTTTATGTCAGGAATTGCATGGTTTGTATTGCTTTCTCAATGATGGAAATTTTTTATGATCGGTTTGTAATCAGTATCCATGATGCACATTTCTAGAGCCTTTTTTTTTTTGTTATAATAATTGATGGGTTGTTTACGCTATTATTTGTTAAAAATAATTAATCAGAGTTTTGGTGGATCTGGAAATGAGGGATCGCCTTATTAATATTACCTGTCTGGATTCTGGAAATGGCATCCTATATCATGGAATACTTTTGGTTTTGTATGGTGTTTTAATGTCGAGGAAAGGGTTCATTGATATTTCTTTTTGTAGCCTTTTATGGGATTTATTCTTTGGTTCTTGATATCTGACGAAAATGTAGTGAGTGCTTTCTGAGTTTCTTGAAATTGGTTAGATCTAAGAGAAATTTAGATTTAGGGCAAGAACAGTGTTGTGGCTTTTTTTTCTTTCTTTTTAATGTTAATGATCGTTCCTGCAAACTATGTCATAATGGTTTAATTGTATCCTCCTCCAAATTGTGCTGATTTGTGAATTGGCGTTTATCTCTTTTTTAAGCAGACATTGTATAAAAAGATGTACAGAATCTAGAAAGTTGGTTAATCTATTTGAAAAGCTTTTTTTTTTTTTTAGATTGTTGGAATGAGATATATTTTCTCAAATATTTACAATCTATATTTGGTTTAACGCATATCCAAATGAGATATGGTAGTTAGCTTTAATTTCCTTTTGAGAAATTTTGCTTAAATTATACAATCTGATTACCAAAATAGTTTAATTTCAAGATCATTGGAAGCCTATTGATCAATGGTGAGTATTTTTTCCCATTTTCAATTTCAACTACAAGATGCCTGATTCATGGTCAACATGTTTATAAATCTGTGAAGGAATATGGAAAGTACCATATTATGGAATGTATAGGTCTGAACTTCTATGAAATAATGTTAGGGTGTTTTATAAGTAATATGATGAGGTGTGAGTTTCTTGAAAGTATCCTGACTTGGGTGGTTTTGTCCTTGAACTGCCGACAGTTAGGACTGTGGTTGATCTTGTGGTGGAAGCCTATTCATATCCTGGTCGTCCTATCGAAATTGTAGGTTTGCTTCCATACTGTTAAATATCCATTTGATATTTCTGACTTGGTTGACAAAATGGAGTTCTGGCATGTGCAAAATCAACTCATCTCAACACTGCCAATTGGATGTTGGGTATAAGTATTGGATGTTGGGCATTTGTGTTGTTATTAGCACATTCTTGGATATGCCATTGATGAATGTTTTGGTATTGGTTTAATTCTTATTTGGGTATCTGTGCTTCTGAAGTTTGCTCATTGGTTCTATGCATTCCTTTAATCCATGTGGGGCGTTGCAAAATCTTATTCTAATCGGTACTCTCATCCTAAGATTGTTCTCTCTATCTCTCCCTCACACAAATATGTAGAATTTGTACTTTGCAGGAATTATCATGGATAAGCATTATCATTGGTTCTTTAATTGTTAGGACCTAAGAATTTGTTATATTTATTAATTATTCTGTGTTGATTAAAGTGTAACTAGATCTTGAAGTTGTAAATAGTTGTGGTCTTCACATGTGATTTGCTTTCGTAACTCATTGAATTAACAAGTTGCATCTTGGTCTCTAGGCTCCACTTGAAATCATGTCTAGACACATTACTGATGCAGCCAAACTTAGGAAGAGAAAAAAGTATGTTGCAGCATTGGTTGCATATACAACAGCCTTGGCAGCTGCGAAAGCTGCACTATCAATATTATCGATAGACCACCTCATCCTCGACGTTTGGTTAGAAGTCCATTGTTTTATGAAACCATAATCAATGGTGACGTTGATTGCTACAACCGAATTAGAATGAGTCCGAGGACCTTCTTTGTACTAAGAGATATTCTCAAAGAGAGAGGCAACATACGAGATACCATAGGTGTAACTTTGGAAGAGCAGCTGGTCATGTTCCTACATACTCTTAGCCACAATTTGAAGAATTGAAAAATTGGACCTTCCAGAAACAGTCAAGGATCGGTATGATGGTTGATTTGAGTGGTTGCAAACTTACATGGGTAGATCATAGTCATTATGCACTACTGCCCTTAGGAGTAGAGCTTAAACTTTGTTTTTATTTTTCCTTTGGTGCATATACATGGGGTGCAATATAAGGAGCTCTCTTCCTATTGCTGCTCTTGCCCCTAAGGGCAGCATCCTTGTAATAAAATTCCCACTAGAGCATGAATTGGATCTTTTCTTTTCCAAGATTTTGAGAGGAATCACAATCACAGAGCTCTATTAAAACATCTCCCTTGCATAACATGCTGTCATGGAAGTCTTAGCTGCTAAGCAATCACAATAGCAATTGATATCTAGAATAGCTGTGCTATCAATTATGTTCCTACTTAAGGAGTTTTATCCTAGAGATAATTCTCGCCGATAAATTGAAAATTATCTTGACTTTTATCACAATAAATGTCATTGCCAATGATATCCCTATAGAATGAATTTATCATGATAATTTAGAGCAGCCAATCACTATCACCATAAAAACCTTCCATGGTATTAACTTGTATGTGGTATGAAAGAAAAATTAGAAATTCGAAATGGAAAAAGAAACATTTCATTTTCATGATAGCAGCCCTGAAAATCTCCATCATGCAAATGAGAAGCTAATTGTAAGTAATTGGTAATAGACATGTCGTTAAAGATGTTTTAAGTTGGAAGAATTTTATTTTATTCCAAGGAATGTCCATTGAGGTAATCAATGAGATTCTGCACATGACGAGAACTTCTATGGCTTGTATAACAGGCTGATATATAATTTGATGGCTAACATTCTCCTCCAACACCATCGTATTTCCATTTTAACTGCAGTGATATAAATGTCTTCTGTCAGAGTAAGGTCATCATCTCTAAGGGCAGCAATAGAATTCGGAACATACTATGGCGAGAAAATATGTTTTTCTATTTCACTGGTTCCAACTTGCATTATTCATGGTCCACATTCAAGTAGGCATACACGTTAGAGATAAATGAATAACTTACTGTGGAAGATGATCAGTTATTGCCTAAGAAAATAAAGAATGGGAAGCAGTGCCCTTTTGAGTGTAACACACCCTAAGGAAGGATAGACTCTTGGATCAACTTGTTATGTCCTTATTAGACCGAAATTGACATGGCAATGTACAAGACTCAGATTTCAATAGTAAATGGAAATATGAACCATTGACATCAGAATTCATGTGTATGATCATTCATGCTAGTACCATTTTGTAGCAAAGGTTACAGGTAGGGGAAATCAATAACAAATAGGAAAAAGGGAGTGGATTCCAAAGGTACAACTAAATGAATAGATGTACCTCCTCTTCACGGACCACCTTATATATTAAGATGTGAGCACTTCAAATCATTTCCATTGATAGTATATACCATCTAAAATGCAAGATGTCTTGGGCAGACGCCAATGTGAAAAGCAATGTTCCATGACTCGTCCGTGTCCACACGAACTTGCCCTATAGGCAAGGCTGACAAGGGCGAGTTCCACAGCAACTTGCCCCACCCTTATAAATGTAGTAAAAATATTGAAAATGGAAAAAATGTAGAAAAGTTGGGAAACACCACTATATTTGTTAGAAATAAGTTTTTAGATTATTTTTCTGAAATATTCAAGATCTAAATAAAAAATCTCATTAATTCCTACATTATAGATCTTTTTATTCTCCTAATGCTTCTATTAACATCTTTTATTTTATTTTTATTATTTTTAACTATTTTTTAAAAAAATACCATTTCTTGACCTTTTTTTTGGTTGCACGTGACTCAGCCGAGTCCACTTGGACACAGTCGAGTTACTCACCTCGCCAAGGGCGAAATACCTTGGCCAAGACGAGTTTCTGAACCTTGGTAAAAAGAAAATCTTATAAAAGTATAATACATAACAGTAAAGGAAAGAAGAATTATTCTTACCAGTGTCGAAGGTAAACACAGCATGGAAAGATGTCATCCCGCCAAATTCGAGTTATATTATAAGGAGGTCCAAAAAAATATTGAAAGAATTTCTCATTGCCTGAAAAATTAGGCAGACAAAGACCATGGTGGAGCAAAATTTAGTTAAAGTAATAATCGATCCAAAAATTACAAGCAACGTGAATGAAACATCATGATTTAAATGGGGAAGTTAAAAAATGTCATCTGCATTAGACATTCAAGCTTCTGAAAGATAAGAAGTGGATGACCTTTAGTCAAGTCAGTAAATTGTTCAAAAAGAGAGGCTCAAACTTGTAGAGAATAAAATTTTCATGACTCATCATTAGGAGATGATATGTGCACTCCAATAATAAATTTGATTCCAAAATGTAGACAGTGAACAATGGGTTGCTATTTTCCTCCCACTTATGTGGCCATACACAAGTAGATTGCATTTGTAAATCATGGATAGGCATGTTTGCAACAGAAATGCCAACAAGGAGTCCACAGGATGCTAAAATATCTTTGCAGAAAGTGCTGGGCCTATTTATATTTCATGTTAGCGATGATAGGCCTTGGTAGTTGGTGGATGATGTGAATTGGGACAAGTATGTCTCTGATAGGTCTTCTCTATATTCCTCTACTGATGAAGTTTTGCTAATATTGTCAGCAGATGTTTATAGAAACAGATATGCGGTGTGAATAGTTAGTGTCTTTGTATTAGAATCCTGAGTTTGGCCAGCTGTATGATGGAATGACTCAAAATATTAGTAAAAAGAACCTCCTGGGTGGCTACAGGACGGGCTTTCCAGAGGACTGCCATTGTTGTAAAAAAGATATTGAGGAGAGTTTTACAAACTTGTTGCTCTTGCATGAACATAAGAGTATGGAGGACTGGCTAGGTTTCTCTGTATAATAGAGATGTGACAGATGCAGAGGTGGAGAGATTAGTTTATCTTTTCATATGCTCGATAAAATGTGTACTGTGTTAAGGTGTAGGAGGAGGAATTCCATTTATAGGGCAATTTGGTCCTTATATGAAAATTTCGACACTAGGTCAGTGCTTAAGATGCTGACAAAAGCAACGAGGTTGGGCTTCCCATTGGAGAAGTTCGTAATGCTGTTCATGCTTCTTATTTTGGGGAATTATATACTATGAAATCATTTTCTTTTGGTACAAGGTCACAATCATTATTGGCCATTGGATGTGAAATTCAATGGATTAGAGTGTGTCACAATATTCTAAAAATTTTATTTTGAAGTTGCATAAGATGCAATTTTTGTGCCCTTTCTCACTGTAACCAAGTCTTCAATCAAGAGCAATCCCTGAGAAGGACTTTGCTTATCAATAGATCCTGGTGTGGCAGCAATATGTTTTTTTCTCTCTAGGACTAAGTTGATTTGTAGATTGATAAGTGATTTTGTAGCAGCAGTAGAGAGAGAAATTCAAGGACTTGTTTACTTCGACCATTGAAGAGCACCTTTTAAATAGATGATTGAAGAGAAGAGTGTTGAAGTTTAGAAAGACTATGGTTGATTTGCTAATTTGAAGTTGAGAGCTTAAAGATTGTTTTTCTCTTTGTAAGGTTAAGGTACTCTTCTATGGCTTTTCCTTCTGGTTGTGACTATGGGGTATCGCATCTATTTTATGCCGATGATGCAATTATTTTATGTGAGGCTTCTTTAGCTGCTGCAAAATAGATGAATTCTATTCTTTGTATTTTTGGAAATACCACAGGGCAAAAATTGAATGTAACTAAAAGCATGGTTTTCTTTTTTGGAGTTTTCATGAATGCAAAACATTTGATCTTGAAGGGATTGGGGTTTGGTGAGGGTTTTTCCAATAAGATACTTGGGAATGCCTTTGTTCCATGGTAAACCTAAAGCACCATAATTGTCAGAATCTCGTGGAGAAATTCATTAGCAAGATAGGAACATGGTAGGCTTTATCCCTCTCTTATACAGGTCGGTTATAATTGTTGAGATCAATGTTAAGCATAGTTTCAAAAATCACTAGTCAGGTCCTAGGCGGCTTGGGGGGTCCAGGCCGCCCAGCGCCATGGTGGGCGCTCAGAACCTGGGCGGCTCAGTTGAATCCAAAAAGGATTCTACATTTGTATATTGTAT